CGTATCATTTGGCGTAATTGAAAAGTCTCTGTATTTAAGTCTCCCACTAGAATTCGTTAAGAAAAGAATTAAGCTCGTACAAACAGCGTATATTTGATAAGATACAGAATTGCTTGAGAGATTATAAGAACAGGTAACGTCCAGCTTGCTACGTAAATACGATTCGACCCGGGCTAACTCGCAAGGCCCGGGAGAAGGAGGGGATCCTCAGTAGAGTCAACCTAAAGACTGTCGTGGTAAAGTTATAGCGAATTCGATTGCTCGCACAACAGAATTGCAATTTAAACAACTATTAGTAGTAACAACTTTTTGTCCGTTGAAATACAAAATCAGGGATCTTTGAAAATGAGAGTAGTGACAATCTAATCGACCGACGGACAATGCGGCGTGAATACAGCGGAGTTGAGCGACGAAAGCGCGGAGTACAAAATCATCGAGGTATCGCGGCTACGCGATATTCGCATACAATACAGCAGGCGCTGCATCGAACGGACAATGGTCCTTTTTTCGTTGAAAATGGGAACAAGGGTGAAGGGAGAGCAACGTGGCGCGCGGCGTTAAAGGGAGGACGGACGGTGCGTGTGTACGCGGTACATGGTAACGTAAATCATACCTCGAAATAGATTCGAACGGTCGATCGTGTGGATTGCGATGTCGGCGTGCCATAAACGCTCGAGCGCAAATCCGATTCGCCCTGAAATCTTATCTAAAGCCGAGCGTTACGCGCTAAGCCCGGCTCATTTCGTATCACGATTACGCGCAGATTAACCAAACTTTCAGCAACGGGCGACGAGAGCAATTTTTACAAGCGATCTTCGCAAACGCCACAATAATCGGCTTTCCACATAATAAAGAATTTAAAGTTTCGTGTATACGTACCGTCCGTAGGAAGAAAGTTGATATTGGCTTCTGCTGAAGGAATCAGGACTTTACGTTTGTCAATTTAATTATTTTCAACGTCGCTCTATTCCGAAAACTTTTTATTGTATTTCCGCGGAGATAAATCAAATCAAAATCAAACACAATGGCGCGATTTTATTTTATTTTATTGTTATCGCGCGTACAAGGTGACCAATAACGACGGCGATTTTCCAGATGATACGACCTTCGTTTAAACAAAACGCTTAATCGACGAGCGGGAACCGTCCGATGAAATCGTGATCAGTACGCGCAATGCACCAGCAATCATTGCGCTCGCGATTCGTTTGCTAAACGAATTTGGAAAGAGGACAGACGCGAGCATTGTCCGACGTTGCTCACGTTAAATACGTCGGTTTAATTACCTATTGAACGCTGTAAACGAAGTTGGGTCGTACAGATGTTGACAATGGATTCGTTTACTCGAGCGCGCACATAAATCATGTCGCGGATTATGTCCATTACGATTATAAAAGTTTATCACTTCTACATTGTTACGGAGCTTATTAACAGGCCGGAAGCGATTGCCCGATGATATCACTGTCGCGTGCTAGTAGAATGAAAATTCCGATTTTCATTAAGTGTCACTGGTTTCAATTAAAATAGGATTTTCAATTTCCTGACGGAATATCAATTAGGTACCAATTTTCCAACGACAACGTCCCACTCTCGTTCCGCTAAGGGAAAGCCCTGATTTCGATTCCGCTTTAATTACATCTGCCCAACACTGATTGCCTATTATGTGCTTCTAGACGAATCTAACAAGCTCCGAAGCTCTCTTCACGAAGAAAGCTTTTAACAGCAACATTCATGATCCCCAATCACTGTTTGTACCCAGCGTCACATTTTTTACAATAATTTAATATGTTGCAATACAATGTCCCATAAACTAATTCGATTCGACACAATTTTTTTAACAAAGTGAATTAAAATTTAGTGACAAAGGTACAGAAATAAAGCAATTTAAGCTCGCTTAAATAATATTATTAATGTTTACTGAAATTAGAACTAATAAATCCATTTCTTTCTACACATATTACATATTACTTTTATGTTAGAGAGAAAGGATTATTTTAATTATGAATGCCAAAAAGTTTTTGATAGGAATCTACGAGTAGAATATGAATTATGCGTTCTAAACTTGATAAGGATACGTTTCGCTTTTAATCGTTAATGTAGAAGTAAGTTAGGTATCTTATAAGATTTCCATAATTCGGTGAATGAATAAAATATTGCCAGCGAGGGATCTTCCGGGGATTTTTCATAGGAAAGGTATTCATTCTAAAATCTCTTCGCGCGCGATATTCTCATTTAATTCGATTTTTTCGCCGTCGTCTTCGTCAGATCCGGCGGGATTAGTGACAATGCGAAATTCTTTATAACGCAGCTGTTTTCTCAGTTCCCAATCTGCTCGACCCAATCTCGTGGGGCATCATTCGTTGGTGCTCGCTCGAATTCCAAGCCTTCTCGATTTCGCGTTGCCTTTGAGTTTATCGAGCGGATAGAATGTCTGTGTATGCGCCGTATCTGTTTTGCGGTCGCTCGAGCTGCAAAAATTTTATGTGGAAACTGCAGAAACCACCCGCAAGACATGGTATTCTAGCCTCTATAATAGTCCGCCTCCAGGATGAACTTTGCAGCTCATAGATGGGAGGCGGACACGTATGAGAATCGATCGCGTCTCAATTTGAACACAAGCGATTTTCTTATCCTGCGTTCTTGACGATTACATTTAGCGTGCACATATTTTATCCGCTGCGCGATATTACGTTAAAATTAATGCTATCGTGAGACAATCGGTAAAGTTAAACTGGTAAACGACATTAGTGAGAAATTTATCAAAAATAAAATATTGAAGAAATTTCAATTTTAGTCGCGGCTTACTTTCTTTGAATTATTCCTCGATTACTTATCTAATCATGGGTTAACTGTTGTTATTTTCCTATAAATATTTTTTCCTAGCTCTTCTTCCTATGCCTCTTGAAATATTTTTAGAATATCTTTATATTTTACGCAAACGTTTATAATCATTTTTTTACTTCTTTTCAAATATTTTCTGAATAATCGTGTCACATACGTCACAAGAATTTGTAAAAAATTATAATGTAATCTTAGAAACTTACCTTTCATCGCGTCTTGGTCACAGATATAAACCGCAAAAGGGGCAAAGAGAAAGAAAGAGAAAAGAAAAAAGAGAGAGGGGGGGGAAGAGAATGTTGTAATCCTTATCGGTGAGGGGTAACACGTAGGTCTAATTAACTTCGCGTCGGTTCCAAGGATTTAATCCCGTGGAAAACTGTGTGCGCCGGAAAGAGAAAATGTTAAGACTCTGCATCTTTCGCAATTCCGTGAAATCGCTCCCGGACAAATTGAAGATTTTCGAAGAACAGACGAAGTGAAGATGTAGATTTAATTTTTCCACCGTCGCTCCGTCGCAGTGAACAGTAAATTTTTCCAGTCGGGAAATGAGATTAGATATCGTGAAACACAATCAAGATTTTCAGCAAAGATGCGCTCTGCCAATGACTTGAGATTATCCTGTGCAAGGAAATAAGATTAATGACAAGATTCTAGGCAATTAAACAAACGACTATCGAGAGATTGATAATACCTTATTCTGTCGAATTAAAAAGGCAGTAGAACGTCATTAATTATAAGAAACGAATCCTTATTAGAGACTGACTAATTACAAACTCCACTGATTACACACTGTTTACTCCTGGCGCAAAACTGATAAAAATAACTTCGTTATACGGCTAGTGATATCATACAATTTTTTAATTCAATACTGTCAAAAAAACAGAAACGTATTGAAAAAATTTATATCCGCGATGGCCCTCTGCATTGCGGAATTTTTATATATTTTAACGATCCGGCTAAAATTTAACTCGGGGAACCACGACATAAAAGGGATAATATAATATTAACGAGAGTAGATTCTTTATTTTTTTATTCCTGTTATAATAAGGCCGTAGTTGATCATTTTTTTCCGCCAGTGTTTAATCAATTTCATCAAATGTTATTAGTACTTGTTTTTAAAGGAAAATTATCACTGTAAGAATAACAGGCATGCACTGCAACAATTATAGTACTTAGATAGAGAAAGACATTATTTCTCGTATAATTAAGATTAAAATATTAACAAATAACTTTATACCTTTAATTTTTTTTTCTATTATATATCGCATTCTATTTCGTAGCGTAGGATGTTAAAAAATACATAGAAAAATAGATTGCTTTTATAATATAGAATTACAGAGCTGATACTTGATTTGTTCGAAACGGTAAAGCAAAATTGTCTCGAGAGTAATTAGCCTTTCAACATGGGGCGTTATTTTAACCCCCGGCGCCAGCAACTGCGGAACGCGACTAAATCATGAAGCGACACTTACTGCTCGTTGACAAGTTGTTGAATCGAGGCTAAAAAGTAATTACGATGCATACGTGGATTTCGCGAATTTAATATCCACCGATTTGTCCAACGTCGGTTTAAACGCGACGTGTTATTTTCGGATGGTATGCGTTTACCAAGCCGCATAATTGCTCGCGTGCTCATCGCTCTTCTCTGCGATTAACCGTTTAATTTATCGTGACGACGAGTGAAACGTTTGAGCACGGCTATCCCGATGATAGTTACGTAAAACGGATGGACATGTTAGAGCCCGAGCAAAGGTAATTTATCGAGCACTTAGTCCCTACAGTGACGTCATTTCTCGGAGCGTGAAAGATAATCTATCATTGTGCAGCCAGACAATCGTGGATCAGGATTTGCTTTCACGATTAAAACAGTTCATTAAGGTTGAAGTAAGACGAATTGCCAGTCTATAGCACATGATCAATATATTCCTTTTAAAAGATACGATTTGGCAATTAGTTGAATTACTGAATGACTCCTCCGCAAGTATTCTATCGAAATACTTGCGGTATTTTGTGTGAAAACACTGCGAAATATATGTGAGAGACGCTCGCAATCGAAAAGCATAAGCTTCGATACGAAAAAGTTTTCTAAAATATTGCAAGAATAGCTTTTACGATATTGCAAGGGATAACTAAATTATGCAAATTTCGATATAGATACTCACTTATATTTTTATCTCTGTATTGCGGCCGCGCGTCGCCGATAAAACAGACGAAGAGCACCCACACTGCGAACCAGCGCGTTCCCATTTCGATCTGAAATAAGAGAAGCGATATCTTAAATAGATTTAATTAAGTATCCAATAGCGCGGGCGTATATACTCACTTTACAGTTTCTTTACGATTGTGATATTACTGCAGCTTTCGCGCGATCTTTTATTCTTAAGTGGGGCCATGATAATGCAACGCAATAATACCGTAAAATAAGTGTTATAAGGAAACGAATTTAATTATGTAATCAGCGTCTCTTGATTTATTCATTATCTTATAAAACGAGCATTTCTTTAACGAATATTTCTCAAAAATCGATGTCATGCATTGACATTCCCGCTGTTGCAATTTCCTCTTTCTTGTTGCCTACTATTGTGCCACAATATTCCAAATAGTTTTATCCGAGGGGAAAACCGCTGAGGGTTAATTAATTCCTTTGTTTAATCATTCACGCGGATATCAACGAATAGGCGCGGATCAGAGTGACTTAAGGAATGCTGTGATGTGTCGATCGTTTAATTACACTTGTACCTCGCGGAATTTATACGCTCGAAGTTTCGAACAGGAAGCATATCGATCAGTGCATTTTTAAATGATTTTCTCGGTTCAATTGATTATGGAATCGACTCAATGTACCTGAGCGGAGTTGATATGACAGGGTTATTTTCGACGTTCGAATTTGTTAAGGACGAACTTAATACAAATTTTACAATGTATGTTGCAGACTGTTGGAGAAGTCCCAGAAGGAATCCCGGAGTACAACCTGAGTGGAGGAGAGGAGGCCTTGGATAGGCATCAGGCGCCGGCGGAGCAACTTTACGGTAAATGTTATTTTTTATTTTTGTAAAAGTAATCTTTTTCCAGTTTATTTTTGAGTCGGTTTACTTCATAATTTTTTGATTTCGATATAATAATTAGAGAACAAAAAGTAATACAAAATTTTGTAAAAGTTTATTCTCGTGAAGATCTTTTGCAGAAAATTCTTTCGCGCATTATTCACTTAAACTTTCTAACCGAATAAAAAGTTTAATACGCACGAGAATTACTTATATCGTCTTATATTATGCAATATTTGTCGTCTTGAACTCTTTTTTAATAAATTCTATATTTTTATGTTACAGATTCAACGTAGTCAACTCCGCTGCTGCGCATCGGGTCGGTGAGTAAAAAGTTTATTTTATTGAGGTGACGAATCAGATCGTAGAACGTAGATCGTAGAACGTAGAACATAGATCGTAGATTGTAGATGATAAATTGATACATTTTAGAGATTCGTTACCTCAAAATGGATGGATTACAGTATAATTTTATATTTTATTGGACATATTTTATCTATCGAAGTGGTCGCGATTTTCAATATGGGGGGTTGAGTGCCCCGTTGCAAACCAGAGTTGAATTGTCGCAGAAAGTACGTAAAATACGGCTTGGCAAATATAGTCTTGCTGTAATCTTTTGTAATCTATCCATTTATTTTTGATATTTTCTATATTTGATTTTATATGTGTATATTCAAGATGCGTGTCGCATGGACGACATGCACAATTACACGCATCGTCGCGGTCGGTTTTCGCGGTCGGTTTTTCCATTAACAAATTTTCTTCATTAATTTTTTAATTTCACCTATAATACGTGTTCCAAATTTTTACAGAATACAATTGAAATTAGTACGCATAACGCGAAATAAAATTTGTTTCAAGTATATGTTTTTACAACTCCGACTTGAAAGAACGGTCACAAAGATTAATTTATATTCTCCATTAAATAACGGAATTACTTAAAATATATTCGGTTAATTTTATGTAGTTAATTTTTCAAATATATATATATTTTTTAAGTAACTTTTCATTGCCGTGTATTTTTTTTATACGATCGGCGCTCGTACTTACGATTCGAATCGTTCGTAATGTCGATAATGACATTAAATCGTCAATTGGAAGAGTTTTTCTCTTTCTTGTTGATGTCTGGTCAATATGTGACCAGATTATATGGCCAGGAGCGACGAAAGGTAGGTCCAATCTGGCCCAACGAAGGATTCAACTTTCTTTACCACAATGGTGAAGTGCATACAAATTGATTTATATTTACTTGTATACTTGTATATCTTTTTATTTGCCAAAAATCGGGTGGGTTATTCATTTCTACATTTTCTCGCACATTTGCGAGATTGCAAAGAAACTACATGAAATCTCAATCGCGCGCGAGTTAAAACCGCAAATCGTATCCCTAATAATTGCGTCGCGATTTTTTTACTAAAACAAATAAATTTAAATTTAATAATTTCATTATACAATTAGAATCTGGTTGTGCAGTATTTATACACATATAAAGTATATGTACATATACATATACATAAAGCACAATAAATTTTAGTCGTTTCTGCTTGCTCGGAAGGAGCGTCGTCGTTTCCTTACGAAAACTTATCGTTTCCCCGTTGCATTTCTTCCTATCCATTATTGTACTTGTTGTGGCGAAGTTACCGCCCACAAAAGGATAAGCGTTCTAATTTATAAAAGTTTTAAATTTATGTTGTCTGCTTTACGATTTAAACTCCCCGGGATACACGAGCTGTCTGTGACGTCAATAATATCGCTCGGTTGTTCCACCATACTTTTAAATACAAGTCTTTCGTAATTGTATATCTTTCATAACTCGTCTGAAAGATTGCCAGTCATTGAGAACTTTACAGGGCAATTTAAATTTAAATTTTGCCGCTGGAGCAAATATATTCGCTCGCTCTATAGTTGAAGGGAGAGATCGATGGTTGCATTTGCACGTTTCTATAACTACGCCGCATCATCGACCCACCTCGTAATCGCTGAAGGGATAATGCTCCTCAACCGTCGAGACCGGAGACGATCCTTTGTGGCAATCGCGCGGATAATCGAAAACCGAGAGAAAGAGATACGGTGTATAGGATTCGCGGCGATGGAACACGGCTGAATATTTCCGGGTTCCCGTGCACGGAGATGTTATAAAATATTTCTTTGAGGATTTCGACTGTGCAGATATATATTTCATTCGACAAGCGTTTCCGCGCGGCACGTATTCGAATCTCTATATCAGTTCCCGCGAATATTATCCGCAAGCCGAGCGCAGAAAGTTTTCCCCCGCGTAAGACGACGGCGAGGACGACGATCGCATTATCCGCGAAATTAACGGGATTTCGTTGTCACGATAATACCAGCGTGCTCTCTGCTCATTTTATCGCTGCTTCCGAACGAGCACGCGTCGAACGTTCTCGTTTCGTGTCGCGACGTAATACCGAAACGTCAACTTGAGGACGTCAATCGTTTTCAGACTGGGCTAAAATTGCCCAGCAAATTGCTGAGGCAAAGATCCGAAGGTATATTAAATTTATCTGATTGACATTAATGCTCACGTTGGATTTATTAGAAATTGTTTCTACCTGACAAACTAGTTTGTGGCTGCTGATTTAGCCTGGTTTCCTTACATACATTAAAACTTTGTTTCCGCATTTTGACTCACAACTTTTATTAGGCAAACTACTTGTCTCGAAAACACACTGAAATTTCTGAAGGCGCACACGTTTTAGCACATAATTTTGGATTACTTTTTCATACGTGTGTAAAAAAGAAAGAAATATGCGAAATTTTAATACTGTCTAACGCATAAACAAATTAGATGAACTTTTCATTTCTTTTAATTAAATTGAATTAATATCAAAAACTCAATTTTGTTTCTCTTTAAATCGAATTACATTTGTAATATTACTGAAAGACGAAACGAATATACCGTGTGCTTATTGCCGAATAAGCTCGGATTAGCATGTGTTTTCCCGCGGAACACAAGATCACAGGCACACGTATTGTTATCGGCGTTTTTGGAAAACGTTGCAGCCGTTCTCGCGTTTCATCCACTCACATACATTTCGCGAAGGAGCGAACCGGAGTGTGTCCGAAGGATAGACGTCTACCCCGAGGTGGTGGGTGTGTATCCCTTCTGAAGGCTTATCTGCCGAAGGAGCTGCCCTTTCCGGGGAAATCCCCAGACGAGCAGCGTAAAAGTTCCTATTCTCCCTCGAAAGGAAAACATCGTCTAGTACTCGGAGTGCAGGTCCTCCTCTCGACCCCGGGATCATCTCGGCCATGAGTACACGAATACACGTGACCCCGCGTACGCACATACACGCTCGCATACACGCCCGACGACGAAATGATACTCGCGCGCGAAGTGGCAACCCCCGCCTTCGAGGATCCTTGGAACCTTCATCGATCACTATATACCTGCCGGGGTCAACTTCTCCGCGTATCTCGTTTCATGGTTAGCCGGCTCGAAAATATTCCCCATCCCTTTTCATCGCAACCTGGGAAGGGCCGACTTTAGTGCCGGCGCCGGGACGCGAAATTTAGAGCCCGTTCTCCGGAGGTAAATAAAACGTATTCTCGGGTCGTCGGTTCATTGAGTTTCTGAATCCCTGGATTCGCTGATCCCAGAATTACTTTTCTCACCGGCTTTCAATAAAATACGTACGTGCGAATCATTTCAGGCAGCTTGTTAGAAACGAAATGACGATATTCTGATCACTCGGGTGCATTTGCATTTGAATTGCAACACTGAATGTACGGCACAGTGCGAATTCTTGGTTTTATTTATTTAGTATAAAGATTTTAATCAACGCGCTATCACAAGTTGAACATTGCACGGCCATTTAAGCAGTATATGCAAGTTAAAAGCAGTAAGTAACTTTACCTACTGTAATTAATGTTCCGTGTAAATGTCTAAGTGTGTCCTCAGTACTTAGATACTTAGACTTAGTACTAAGACTTGAAAGCGGTATAATTTCAGTAAGTTTAGTTACCAGCGCTGAGAACACATGGATCTACTTTGTGCATACATACATTCATAACAACGTACATTCGTAATACATAAGATATATATAAAATCCCAGTTAGTTACAACAGTTGACTCGTTTAGGAAAGAAAAAAGTATCTTGATAAATAAAGTACATTAAATACTACTTCTTTATGAATAATTAAGCAACGCTATTATTGGCCCAGTTTTTATTTATAAGAAATTGA